CTATGTGCATATCACAGATATTATCATTACTCTAATTATAATATAGCTAGCCAAAGCTGAATTGTTAAATTTCAGTTCAATTAAATGTTTGTTTTGCAGACTATTTATAAATATGACAGATGTACACTGCTCAATGATAATAATAAAATTTGATATACTTTTCAGAGGCTGATATAAAATATACAAAAGCATTAAAAGGAACAAATTGGACAATTTTGTAAGGACTACAGCTGGTAAAAGCATACCAGGGCAGCTCGCTAGGATTTTAAAGATCTTCTGCCAAAATAATCAGTGAATGGCTCTTTCTATAATATCAAAATTAAAAACTGCTGAGAGCAAATATATTATAATGCAATTTGAATTTATTTTGTGTGGAAAAAATGCAGAGAAATAAAAGTTATCTTTTCTGCTGCAAATTTTATTGTGACAAAATGTATATAACGCAAAAGTTGCCATTTTAACTATTTTCAAAATGTACCATTCAGTAGCATTAATTACACTGACAGTGCTGTAAAACCATCACCACTACCTAGTTCCAAAACTTTTCATCACTTCAGATAGATATTCTAGCAATAACTTTCCATTCTCCTCTCTACTCTCTTCTCATCCAAAGCCTCTGGTTAATTCTAATCTACCTTCTGTCTCTATGAATTTGACTACTCCAGATATTTGATGTAAGTGGAATCACATAATATTTGTCCTTTTGTGACTGGCTTTTTTTTTGTTTTCAAGGTTTGTTTATATTACTGCAGGTATCAGTCCTTCATTCCTTTTTATAGCTAATAGTCCATTGTATGTTCATACTCATATTGTTTACCCATTCATCTGTTGGACACTTGAGCTGCTTCCACCTTTGGCTACCATGAATAATACTGTAACGAACACTGGCATACAAGTATTTGAGTCTCTGTTTTCAATTCTTTTGGGTTTATATATGACCCAGGACATAAAGTGCTGGGTCACATGTAATTCTATGTTTAACTTTTTAAGGAACTGACACTTTTTCCCAGCAGCTACACCATTTTACATTCCTACTAGCAACGTACAAGGGTTCCAATTTCTCTACATCCTTGCCAATGCTTATTTTTCATCCTTTTGATTATAGTAGCTGTGAAGTGGCATCTCACTGAGTTTTGATTTGCAATTTAATGTTAATCATCTTTTTCATGTACTTATTTTCCATTTGCCTATCTTCTTTGAAGAAATGACTATTCAAGTCCTCACCCACTATTTAATTGGGTAGTTTGCCTTCTGTTGTTGAATTGTAGGAGTTCTTTATATAGTCTGTGTATATAACCTTATCAGATATGTGATTTGCAAATATTTTCTCTCATTCTGTGGGTTGTCTTTCATTCTCATGGATAGTATCCTTTGATGCACAAAAATTTTCCATTTTAATCAAATCCAATTTACCTTTTATTTCTGTATTGTTACCTGTGCCTTTGGTGTCACATCAAAGAATCCAATGTCAAATCAAAGGTCATGAAGATTTGCCCCTATGTTTTCTTCTAAGAGTTTTACAGTTTTGGTTCTCAAATTTAGAGTCTTTGATCTGTTTTGAGTTAATTTTTATAGATAATATAGACTAGGGGCTCAACTGCATTCTTTTTCACCTGGCTATCCATTTTCTCAACACAATGTTGAAGAGAAAGAGTTGTTTTTTTGGTCTTTGTTTTTTGTTTTGTTTTGTTTTTGGAGAGAGGGTCTCGCTCTGTCACCCAGGCTGGAGTGCAGTGGCGCAATCTTGGCTCACTGCAACCTCCACTTCCTCGGTTCAAGCGATTCCCTGCCTCCATGTCATCAATGCTGTACTTCTGATCATTTCAGGGCTGGCAATTCTCAAACTGTGATTTACTTTTTTGAGTACCCTTATGCTGGTATGGAAAATGGCATTCTCATTATTTAAAAATGTTTTAAGCTAACATGAAAAATAATGGATATTCATAATCAACTTTGGATAGTAATGGTAAATGAAAAGGAGAAAATAAAAACAATCATTTAGAAAAAACCACACATATCACTTTGGTTTCTATTTTTACAGCATTTCGTTTTCTAAGTATCTTTCTAGATATGTCATATTTATCTATGTCAAGGTATTCCAAAACATAACTTTTAATGGCTGCATAGTATACTACATATGGATGGGCCAAAAAGTATTTAACCAAATCCCTATTACAAGATGTTTAAAAGCTGCACTGTCCAATGTAGAAGCACTAGCTACAGGTAGCTGTTTAAATATGTTAATTAAAAATAAAATTTAATAAGTAATTCCACAACCATACTACCAACGTTTCATATGCTCTATAGCCACATGTGGCTAATGACTGCTGTATTGAATAACACAGATAATAAAATCTTTCCCTAATTACAAAAGGTTCTGTTAGGACTGTTTTAGATTGCATCCAAATTATCCCTATTATAAATAACTGCAAGATTGTTGTAAATAAACTTCAATATATAGCTCTGAAAATTTCTTTGGAATAAATTGCTAGAAATGAGTTGCTGGTTCAAAAAGCATACAAACAGATACACTCTGGAGACTGGGTACAGGAAGATGTCAATTTCCTTTGTCAATTTAATCAAAGAATAGTGTCTGTTTAAAAGCTACACTGATTTGATTATGGATGTGGTGACATAGGAAAGGGAGACACAAAGGTCTCTGGTGGCCCATATGCGGATAAGTCACAAATGTATTTGTCTTTGTAATTACTAACCTGGCAGCAGTAGTAGTCATCTGTACAAAAAGAGATGCTGTCAAATGATACTGTCTCCAAGGTAATGAAGTTATCTTCATTAACACCACTTGTAGGGCTAAAGGTTTTTATTATCCATTTGTGTTTTGATTTTTCATGAACTAACTTTTCTTGGTCCACTTTTCTATTGGGGTGATCATTTTTCCTAATGATTTTATAAGAGATTTTGATATAAAAAGGATATGAAAATTGTTTTTCAAATATGTTCAAAGATGTTTTGCTGGACTGTAACTTGCTTTTGAATTATTAAATGTAGGGGGTTGATATGGTTTGGCTGTGTCCACACTCAAATCTCATCTGGAATTGTAGTTCCCATAATCCTCAAGTGTCGTGGGAGATCACTGAATCACGGGGGCAGTTACCCCTATGCTGTTCTCGTGATAGTGAGCGAGTTCTCACAAGATCTGATGGTTTTATAAGGGGCTTTTACCAGCTTTGCTCAGCATCTCTCCTTCCTGCCTCCACGTGAAGAAGAATGTGTTTGCCTCCCCTTCTGCTATGATTGTAAGTTTCCTGAGGCTTCACCAGCCCTGTGGAACTGTGAGTTAATTAAACCTCTTTCCTTTATAAATTACTCAGGCTCAGGCGTTCTTTACAGTAGCATGAAAATGGGCTAATACAGTTAACAGTAATATACAGTAATTACTGTTAACAGTAATATGCAATAAAGACTGAAACTTTTTTTTGTAGTTTCTGTTTTATGTGACATGGTTAGAAAAAGCTTTCCTGATTACATATTCAACCTGGTTTTTAGTATTTTTATGATTTCATCTTTTACATTTAAATAGTAATACCATATAGAATATACACTGGCATATCATCTGAGACAGGAACTAAACATAATTTTTCATATATATTATTATATCATATTATTATAATATTCTCAAATCTCAATATAACTCTCGGGGGTAAAAATTTGTAATAGAACTCATGTAGATTACTAAGTAGGCATCCAATCCAGTCACTCTTATCCGAAATAAGAAAACTACGTTTTTACATTTTAGAAATGCAGCTCTCAGGGTTTTGTTTTTCAGGAAAATATTCTGACTCAGTCTAGGCATTAGCGCTTACATCTTCTTCAAAATAAAGAGAAAATGAGTCATATGTAAATAATTTCAGGGAACAGGAAAAGTAAATATAAAAACAGTCAAAAAAGGTTGAGATCTAGTCCCAGATCCATGAAAGACATAATTATATTGACCTATCTGCTTCTCTTTCATAAAATAAAAGACAATTTCCTGGAAAGGAACAAAAAGACAATTCCAGGGCAAATGTTTTCCTATTCTTGGTACTCACACCACATATTTTCTTACTGGCAGAACCAGCAGTGTTTTCAATACAAAAATCAAAGATTGTTACTTTTGTCTCTTATTTACTATTTCATTATGATTTTATTAGTCTCAAAAATAACTGAATCATGTTTTATTAGTGACAAAGTTGCAACTTCTATTGTTTTCATTTTCCTAACTTTAAAAAAATATCACTGATAAACCTACAATTACTAAAATTCTGTAAGTTCTGCATTTCCACATAAATATTAGTTGTTACTTTTAAAAATCAATTCCTTCAAAAATAAATGAGCTCTATTAAGAAAAATTACCCCCTCCCTAAACAAAACACTTTGCCCTCTAGCAGAGGGAATCGCTTCTACCACCGTTTCATGCAACAACTCGTACCCTCCTGTACAATAATATTTATGTGTCTGCCTATCCTGCCAGCCTGTGAATTCAGGCCAAGCCCGATGTTCTTTTCCCATCTCCATCTCTTCGAGGAACTTAGCAGAGAGACTGGTAAATAATGAATGCCAAGATGGCTTCTTCTAAAATGAATGAATAGACATGGCTCATCCAAGAGCAACTGCCCCCCTTCTAGTAATCTACTGTGCTCGTTTGTTTTTCACACTCCTCCTTCACCTCCCTCTCCTAAGCAGGGCTTTTATTTACATGAAGATATAATTTATTAGTAAGAGCTTTTACGTATAATCTTCAAACTGCCACACTGTATTTTAGCAATACAGAGAATAAAATACTCTTAGAAGACATGTTATTAATATTTCCTTTTGATAAATGAGAAAACTGAAGCTAAGAGAGATCAGAAACATGCCAAAGAAGAGAACCAGCAGGCCACAAGGTCAGACACTAACTGAGAGTTTCTAACTCCATGTAGTCAACTTTTTTCTGTATCAAGTAAAGAGTTTTCAGACAAATAATCTTTTAAGAAAGCCTCAGGTATACTAGAAATACTTACACTGACCCCAGCGCCCCGTTCTGGGGTTCAAATAATTTGGATAAAGACCATTTGGACGATCCATTTTCTGAAGTAGTTTCCGAATGTGCATAACCTAAGTAAAATAAAATTAAGAATACAATTAATAAAAATAAGTGTCATCAAGGCTTGGTATTAATGTGGACTTTGTGTTCTTCGTTACTCAGAATATACACCTATTCCTTGCCTTTGTGTATGTGTTGGAGGGGCGGCAGGGAGTCAGGAAAGCCTTCTATTTCTTAAATGACTCATTTTTATAAGATGATATGTGTCCGTTATTTTAAAATCAAGCAATAATAAAAATAATACAGAGAAAACAGCACAAATAGAAACGATTTTACATCTCAACACGCTACTACCTAGAAATACCATCTGAAACATCAGTTATAAACATAATTCCAGACATAGTCAATATGTATATATTCAAACATACGAACAGAAATAATTTCACAGGAATTAAATCATAAAATGCCATTGTATTTTGAAAAGTATTAATTTGAATTCAACAGATCAAAAATTAAACAAGGTAAAACAAATTGCTGAACTTTAAATATTGTTCCCACAATTGATATCTTTAAGTTCCTGAAATTCCAATTTTAAAATTATCTCCCTGAGGCTAACAGGGAAAGAAAAATCATGAAATATATTAAGTGGCTGGAGACTTCCCTATGGATTTATTTTGATTCAACGCTAGATTGGGTGAACTTTTAAACAGGTATCTGGGGGTGGGAGGAGGTGTTATGTTCCTTGTATTCTTATTTGTTTGAGAATCTTACATTTGCTGAATAAGCTGGCTGGTATAAATGACTTTGGAAAACTTTCTTCTTCAGAGGACCTGATATATACTTCACTGTTCTGGACTTGAGCACAATATTAATCCTTCTGCCACAAGGTTTCCCATCGTCATTCATTTGGCTGGATTTTGTCTTTAAGCAGTTTTAGGAATGGGCTCAGGGATGCTGTCTATATTCCCAGTGTTCTTTCACGTTTGAGACCAACAGTATGTATAACAATCTCAATCCGAAAAATTCAATGAACCACTTTTTAGAAAGTTCTGATGTTATAAAAGGTGAGAAAATTAACGCTTGTCATCCAAAAAAAATGTATACTATTCAATTCTGCCTTTCTTCCTTATCATTTTCTTTCTAAAAAATCTCTTTATTTTCACACATTTACTAGCTTTTCTCAATTTTGTCTTCTAAGTTTCTTATATTTTGAACACTTTCTTTGTGTTGCTTCCATTTTGGCCTTCATTTTGTTGATAACTATTTTTTCTTATACTTTGTTACTGATATCATATCTTACTGTATCTGAGCACCTGTTTCTGTTTATGTACTTGTTCTACAGGGACAAGGGCTTTAATATGTTTCCTCTCGTTGTGATATTTGGTTGAATTTTCAATTGCTCTTTTATATATTTTGTGGCCACAATTTTCCTTCCTTTCCTTTTTTCTGGTAATATCTTTGTATAAATTCTGTGCCATCTCTTTTTTGACAAATTACTCATTATAGTTTTCCTGAAAGTTTTGACATAAAACACAAGGTAAAGTCCAGATATAAATGTTTTTTTTTTAGACTTTGCTTATCCCCACCCACTAGAGATTAGCAATACGGCACTGCTTACACTAATGAATCTGTCATTTATTCCCTTCCCTCACCAAAGTCTGCAGGCACAAACACCATGTCTGTAAGAAGCCTTACTCGATTTTGTTCTTCCAGCTTCTCAACACATTATGTCTAGTAAAGTCCACATAAGTACTCACCATCAGCCTGTGATCCTGTTCTCATTGCTGCTCGTGAGAATTTTTGAGTTTTGTATGTCAACATACACCACCTAATTCAGAGAACTGTGCTCTACTGCCTTTGTATTTTTTAATCGGCAGCCCCAAACATCCTCTCTTCAGTTTATACCAAACCTCTCTCTGATCTTTACTGCTTATATTTCTACCTTTCTTCCTATTTTGGGATATGAAGTATGAAGTCTCTTAATTTTGTTAAAAATGGAATTT